GCACTGCTTTTTCATGCTGCTGGGATGGGGCTCAGCCAGAGCCCAGGGAAAATGAAGCGCTGATTTAGGCTGAAAGGCCAGTGCTAGCTAATATGGGAAATTTCTCCAGCAATCATCACTCTCTTCCTGTCACTATGGTGACAAAAGAAATGACAAAAGCCTGAGCAGAAAGAGCTAGGGTGACCCAAGTAACAGAGCAAATTCTCGGGGGGCAGAGCAAAGGAGGGGCAAGGCAGTGCTCGAAAACTGCAGCTACCTTGCATTGACCGATGCAGTTGTGTCCCACAGGTGCACACGGGGGGTTGCCAAACAACACAAGTACCAAGCTCATACTGCACCAAGTGTCACAGTAAATGCAGCCACCTGAAACAAACAAAATCCTGGCTGTATAAGGCTGTCAGGCCAAAGCTTTAATCTTAATGCACTAACTATTGGCTTTTGCACCTCCCTCCTCCACAGCACTTGGTATTTGCCTTAAGGACAGGGTCTGCAAACAGACTGGCCTCCTCTGTGGTTACAGCTCTGAGCATCCTTAGAGCACACAGTGAGGAAATCTGCTCTTCCAAAGCGACGACCACCTGAGAAACTACCACTGAGCAACACATGTACTAAAAAAGGAGAAGACACAGTGGGGTATGCCTGGAGGAACACGAGGACCAAGAGGAGCAGCTGAACGTAGGTTAAGACTCCTGCAGTGCTGTTTCTCTGGTTTACCTCTAGGCCCTTCCAGCACCTACCACCTTCTCATGAACACACATGGTCACCAGCTCCCAAATGCTTGAACTGCAGGGTTTTTGAGCTGTTTGAGGAAAGGAATATCTTGAAACTCCAAAGAGGAAACTAGGCAGTGGCAGCAAAAAGTGTAGGAGTGTCCAAGCACACCATGTCCAGGAATTCCAGCTGGAGAAGGTGCCAGTGGGTTCATGCCCATTCTGCAGAGAGACTCCTAGGCCTGGGGGCCAGGAGGAAGTCACTAGCAGATCAAACAGCATCAAATGACTTTGCCATTTTAAGAGGAATTTTTATTTACTTGAAGTCACTTTCTAAAAAATAGCATTGGAAAGAAAAAGGGTGGGGTGCAGCAGGCACAGAAAAGAGTGCTGGAGTGACCAGTGGAGAAAATCTTCATCTTGAAATGCCAAGCCAAACACCCCCTCTGCTCTACTAAATTTTTTTTTATTATTATTTTTTCAAGAAAGAAAACTATATTTTCCAGCCAGTTCTATTCATGAGTGATTGTGCAGAGCTCTGCTAATGCGCTGTGCCAAGCTGTGGTCACCCTACAGAGCTATTGGCAGGAGAGGTGGCAAGTTGGAGAGGACTACAAGGGAACTCTGCACGATATTTTTTGATGAGCTGATTATTCAGAAATTTCACAAGAGCTGAAATACATCACTCTGTTCTGAAACTCACAGCCCTGCCAACACACAGGACAGCTTACATGAGCAGCAGCATTTTCTCCTTCACAGTGCTGCTGGCCTGTACATTTGGAACCAGATACAGGAATCAGACAAGGCTTTTCAGCAGCCATCGACTGCAGTGACAACGAGAGATGGGGAGTGGATAGGAGGACACACAAAGCTAAGATAGAGATGATTTAGGTACTTTCATGGCTGCCACTATGGAGCTATTTGGGCTTGAAGGCTTTTCATTAGCTCTGTGGGTACTGGGGCATTGTGATTTTTTTTTTTTTATTGCTTTACAGCTAGAGTGTGAGATCACCCCAAGATTCCACATGTATTCAGGGATTTTTATTTCTGAGGGTGCTCAGTCCCCAGTCACATTTCAGGGTGCTGGCACAAGCCAGGAGCTGACCTTGCCTTTCCCCTGTTGTATCCAGCAGCCTTCGTCTTCGAGGTTGTCTTAAATCTGCAGCCAAGTCAGGCTCCCACAGAGACCAAGTGGTCATTTTCCCCTCTGTGCAACATTAATTAAAAATAAATCACTGTGTTATTTGAGCACAGGATCAAATGAGAGTCTGACACCTGGGTTGGGTGGGTGGTGGAGAGGGGAGGAAGGTGTGTGGGTATGTGCTAGAGAAGGTTAGAAGCAGCACAGAGCTGATTTCTGAAATACTGCACAAAGACTTCAAGGAGCCAATGGGATACGTCCCCAGCCCATCGATCTGCCAACACGCAAACCTTTTTTTGCTAACTGGCACTGGCTATCCTGTGGAGGATCTGCATCTGCATCTGGAGCAAGAATGATGCTGCAGTGCTGAAAGGCAATGAAGAAGTATCCTCATGCAGCACTCGCAGCCTTCATTGAAAGCATTGTTTCTTAGTGCACGTGTATTTGCTGCAGGACAAGTAGCCACCTCAGCTGCCTTTCTGCACAAGGAAACATAACTGCAGTGCAGATGAGCACACCAGAAAACGAAGCAGTGATGTGCAGAAGCTGGGTGCCTGGAACCTTGCACAGCACAACGTGGGCCCATGCCAGTGCCAAAGCCTTCAGAGCCCATTCCTACTGTTTCTTGTTCAGCCCCGTACATGTGTGAGCAGACAGCTGCCAGGTGGCCCTCATACGGGACTGTACCTCTGGGCTGCCTGGCACGGCAGGGACAGGGTGCATGGGCTGATGGTTTCCCCATCAGACACGTTGCTCCCTGGCCATTCTCCTGTCCACAGGACTAACCATGCCTGAGACAGCTCTTCTGCATCTTCAGGCAGGAGGGGGAGAAGGGATGTGAAACGACAACATTCTACTCCCAGCTTGGTCCTATAAGTGTCAATGAAGAGCAACGTGGCTGAAGCACAGCTGTTCTGCTAATGAAAATGGAGACACATAGACACAGCTGCTGCAGTCCCTTGGAGGAACTGCTCACTTCAGCAAAACAAACTTTTAGTAATCAAAAACACCTGGGAAACTTGTTTGCATATAGGTGCAGGGAATGAGGGTCTGAGCCACGTACCAGAGAGAACAGTTAGCTCTGTCCTGCTATGAAGCCAGCTCACTGGGACCTCTCCACTTGCACCACATCCATCAGATGATCGTTCTTGTCTTATCTGCTTTTGGTGAGGGACCTCAGCACTCTGCAGCATCTCCCAGCCCAAAGGCAAGCCCCGGGTGTGACCCCAGTGAGGGCAAGTGATTGAGGTTGGAAAGGACAAAGCTGGTTGCAAGGCCATCAATGCCTTCACCACAGCATATCCTCACGTTTCCAGCTACTGCATCTTTGTAGGCAGTGCACTGTCTGTGGAAAACTAAGTCTTTGGAAAGTGTATGAATGACCCAGACATCATCCTCAAGGCTCAGGTCTTAAGGGGAGCTTTACTTCACATACTGCAGGATGTCATGTACTTCATGGTCTGCCTTCTCTAATCTCCTCCTAGCTCTCACTGCAATCCTTTCTCATGTCCCTCATCTATTGCAAATTCCCTTTTTAAGCTGCAGTGAAGCACATAAATATTTTCATGCTGCATAAATAGGCTGTTTTGTGCATAATGTTACAGGAGGCTTTTTTTAAAAACAGGACCTTTAGCGCCGTGATAACGGCCTCCTCATTTACACAAATGAACCTTTCCGCACAGCTCAGCTCTCATCTGCTCAGCAGCCCCCGTGCACAATGGCTGGCGCAGCGCCTGCTCATCACATGCTACAGAATTAATTCAGAATATTCCACACTTAATAGGAAGCCATCGACCACCAGGTTTGGAAATACCTTGCAAATGTAACCGATGCTCAGATTTTCCCTTTAGAGCTTCCCTGGCAGTACAACTGTGTCTTCCTTTTGTGTGAAATCACAGCTACTTTAAATATTACAGTGCAAAAGGACAACTGTTTGTGTTGGCCCATTTGCCAGTATTTTCAACCATCCTGTCTGCTCACCTTCTCTTTTTTGTCTCTTCTTGCCCCCTGACCTTCACTTCGTGTTTATTCAGCCCTTGTTCAGAGTCTAAAAAGTGCAGATGCCATCATTTACTCTGCATGGAAAAAGAAATAGCATTACAATGTCGACAGTTTTATAAGGGCTAATGAAAAGTATTGGTGGCCATATTGGGCTTTTCATTTTAATAGCACCACAGTAAAACCTGGAATCAAACATCTGTGATTTTGCTTTAGTATTTCTATTTATATTTGACCATCACAGAGACTTCAAACCAACGGACTGAATTCCTCTGCAGTGTATAGCAGAGAGAGACTTTTGGAAGCTCATGAGCATTCATCCATTGTGCATTTTCATACTTCTCAGGTCAGGCTGCAACCCTTCAGGACAGACTGTCGTTGAGCATTTTTCTTTGTTCTGGACAGTGCCCACATTGTGCTGCCAGGCATGCAAAGCACTGCCAGGCGCTGGTTTGGACCTGACCTCCTCAAGCCTTCAGGTAGACTCCGCACCCTATGCCCCTGCTTCAGCACGGCTCTTATCAAAAGACTCTGCGCATTTTGTTTTTCCATTCTGAGCTCAGAGGATGCAGAAAGCTCAGTTGTCACTTCCTCGAGCTTCAAGAGCAAGATCACGGGTGCTCTTTTCATGCGTATCTTGCCGACTCATTTCTTCTCTCTTCCATCTGTTGTTTGACTTTTTTTTCCCCCTTTATTACACGTTAGCAATCAACAACTAACCCATGGTGGGTTTCTTCCTGTGCAGGGCTCGGAACACAGCATTTCTTGCAGAGGGAACGTTCCACACAGGCAGCTCCCACTCATGTTGTTTTTTGGTGCGAGCAGGACATCCGTGCCAGCCTAATCCTAACATGGTTACTAAACCATTAGCAGCTTTACATGGTTATTGATCTGCAGAAGGTTTTTGTAACACCTTAAGCTCCAGAAGAATTGTGATAATGCATTAAAAGGACCAGAGAAAGGAAAGATCTTAAGAAGTGTTACACTTCTTGCTATACTGCTTTACCTGACAAAACGGTAGCTCTCCAAGTTTATTTTGGGTAGTCTGTAACAAAGCCCTGTTTTTTATGAATTGTCACACTGCCAAAAGATCTGATTTTTCTATGATATAATAGCCCACATACGATAACTGAATCAAAAAGCACAACACGGAGTAACACTCTGTAATGCACCTAAACACGGGAGCTACCTGATTTTGTTACGGCTTTATTTCAATTTAGGCTGAGGGACAATTTAAAAAGATTCATTCCCAAGTACACAATTCAGCAAGATATGAGTTACTACTCAGAGTAATATTTTGAATCAGTGCTGTTAGTTGTCTTAGCTGAAATTCAACCCTGATGATATCCAAAGGTCCAATAAAATTTTTCATGGAAGATTCCCATATTTGTAGAACATAATAAAATTGTTCAGCTGCAGCTCCAGGGCCACTGAGAACTGGAGAATGAGGTCTTTCTTTCTGAGGTGTCTTTTATGTCACAGGATGTTTTTCCAACACTTTGTTCCCTAAGAAATATCAAACATAACAGATAGTTACATTTAATAGTATCTTTGATCTTTGTTAGTAAGACAAAACATAAGGCTGCTTATTGCTAACAAGGTAGGTGCTCATTAGTATGTTACAACAGGAAACACTGACAGTGACAGGCAAAAGGAAATGTTCAGTGCTAACTCCACACACAGCACATTTCAGGTCCTACCCCAATCTGTGCGGCAGAGCAAGAAAATCCATGCATACAACTATTTTTAAACTGCATCAGAACAAGAATGCAGAGATTTGTTTGATTTATCATGTCCTTTTTCAATAAAATTCATTTCCAAGCAATACTAATGTCTGCCTTTCACATTGGGCTTTTCATTCCTAACTCACAAAGCACCCTCCAAAGGAGGTCAGGATCATTTTACAAACAGCAAACATGAAGTGAAGCCACCACTTGGATGTCCCTGAGTAAGAAAGGACAGTCCCCAGCTCTGTTGACTGCTAGTCATAGGAACGAAGGATTAGAAAGGGCATCTTGTGTCATCAAATCCAGCTTCTTACTCTTTGAATCAATTTTGCTATAATAATCCATGTAAGTCTTTGGGGCATATGATCTCTTATATAAGCTCCTGCAAACGCTAGTTCAAGATCATCATCCTCATCCATCCTGACCCTGCACGGGGTCTCTACCTAACACCAAGGTATTACACACCAGTGATTTGGGACTGTCACCCCAAAAATACCCCCAGCTTCACCCGGTGGAGAATGAATGGGGTATTTCTTCCCATGTCTGCTCCAATTTTATTCATCTCCTGGTGGGCCATCCTAGTAAAAGACCTGTTGTAGGTGAAATGACAGACCTGGAAGGTTTTCCTGAAGCAAAGAGATAGAAATGCTGAGACCCTGATGACTGCAGCTGTGAAATCTGTGGGTGAAAGCCCACAAACTCACGGTGCAATTGTCACAGCAGTGTTAGCTGGAGGCTTGGAGCAGCCCCAGGTGCTAAGGCAGAGGGGTCATTTGGATTTACCCCTGCAAGATTCACCCGTCCTTTCGCGCAGAGCCTGACATCCTGGCAAACATGGAGCCCCAAGTACACTCAGTCCAATACATTTCCAGTGTCCATCACTCCCTTCCTTTTTCAAATAACTACTTACTGGAGGAGTTATTAATGCCTTTCCACCTACAGCGCCTAGATACCGAAACTCACACAAAGGCAGCTTTTAAGCTTTGAGGTCACGTCCGAGTTGCTGGTTAGAGTGCCTCTCTGGGGGCAGTTCTATTATGCAGCAGCTACAGCAAAGGATAACACGATACAAACCTTTGCTAATAATTGAGCGTGAAGTGGGCTTTTTGCTTGGCATCTTCAGTTTTGTACCTTCACTTCAGAGCATGTTTAGAGCTGGCTTCAGTACTCGGAAAATTATTTCAGCTTATTAAACACAAAGCTGTTACCCAACTGTTAGACGAGGGCACAGCCTCTGAACTTGTTTCCTGGGGTTGTGTGCAGGGCTTGGATCCTTGCTGCTGTTGCGGCTGCAACTCCCCAACCGCCCACTTCTTTGTTTGATTGTCTTTTCTCACTGAAACATATGTTTCCCCTTTTGATGGCATTTTCAGCAACAGTTTCCATTGTATGCCCCTCTTGACTGACAGCTTGATGGCAGCCTGCAAATTACTTGGCACATGTTTTGTGAATCTGCTTGAAGGAGGGTCTGGCTGCTTTGTAAGTGCATCCTTTTGCAGCGTTGGGGGGCAAAAGATTAGCATCATTTTAGCACAGGTCTCGGTATAAAAGTACTTGACCACAGCTGATATCCTCCTTATTTGAAACTCAGCATTGTTCTGTACCTTGGTTCTTTTATCCCACGTCCTGGGACACAACGATACGCTTGGCTTTCCCCGTTTTCCTCTCATACAACGCGGCACACACAGCTTAACGATGAATCAAGAAGGGATCAGACTAAAAATACTTGGTATTTGACAGACAGCTCAGGTAAGCATTCAAGCTGCTGGATGTGTAAGTTAAGAGAACATGTGGCCCTCCGACAGCTTGCTTTGCTAACAGTAACACATTCACTGCTTTGCCTTTATGCTGCCTGTGTCTCTGGCCATGTTGTTTCTACTGCAGCTATAATTACAGGATCCAGGTAGTGCTGTATGGAATCCACATACTCTTTACAGCCAAATTAAATGGCCGCCCATAGGGAAATGGAAGTCCAAAAATGAGGCGTACAAGTTTCAACACGGTACAACTTACAGCCTCAAAACAGACCCTGGTACAGGTGTGAGGGGGACATCATGGCTATGCCGGCTTCCTAAAGAGGAAAACATTTCACTTACAACCATAACTCTATTTCAGTTTTTTTTTTTTCATAAGAATAATTATATTCTGCAACCAGAAAAACAATCAACCTCAACGCTGAGGCTGCTGTGTATTAGCACACCGCATTTATTTGGGAAAGCCTTTTGCCCTGAGCCTTCTAGGGTGTTTACATCTTCTCTTGAAGAGATAATTTAATTCCTGTGCGTAAACCTTCTCTCTGCTGCAGTGGTGGTGCGTCTGGATGTTTTACACTCCAAAAATACCAGCAAGGGCCAGATTATATTTGTTTGTTGGATTTCTGTTGACATTAACTTTCCTTGCATTCCACTGAAATGACAAAAATATTACTTACTACAGAAATATAGAGAATTTTGGGTGGAAAAGCACAGACCCTACGATCTGATCCATCTTCTCTTTGCTATTTCCAACTACTTAAAGCATAATATCACACTGAAATGCACACTTGGAGAGCTGCATTCTCTTCTCCTGACAGATCATTGTGATGTTTTCCAAGGTGACCTTCATAAAACATGCTTCTTTTGAAGCTTCCATTTCACTTTCAGGTCATAATAGTTTCACATAGACAAGCAAACCACCAACTCCTGCTTTCTAATTAATGGTTCTTGGTGGCTTCTGAGTGGGGAATATAATTAACAGCACTTAAGTCTGCAGTGCAGAGAAATCTATAGCTGATCCCTAGGATATGTATTTGCTTGGGGATTATACACAAATAGCTTCTACGTGCAGCCTTGAACAGCTCTCAGCACTGCTCTCCAGGAATTCTCCAGGACCAAGCCCCACCTTGAGTCTAACTCCAGTGTAAGCACTCAACTTGCTTATAAAAAGTGAGGCTTTGAAACCGAGGGGTCCCTGCCTGCTGAACCCCTTTCTCCTGTTCCCATTCCCTGTACCAGAGTCCACAGTATGTTGTATTTTCTGTGACTGCATGGTCATTCTGTTTGCCAAGAGGATGCCTGCAGAGCAGAAGCATTTATTGCAGAAGACACCTCTGACCATGCCTGTGTTGTCACTGTGGCACCCACCCAGGGACAACCTGCTCCGTGCTCCGCACATGCAGCATCTTCTGGTGTAGACTGTGTCCTCACTGCATGGCATATGTCCCAGATCCACTCTGGATCTATTTCAAGGCAGAGTCCATTTTCTGTGTTTTTATTCAGTTTAAAGCACCAGAAATAAGAGGAGGGCTTTTCTTACAGTAAAGCAACCAAAGAAGGGCGTTGCCTAAATTTAAAGAAAGTGATGGGATTGCTCTGGTACCCACTCTCCTGCATGCAGCAAGCACTGTCAGAAGTGCTGGAGCAAAACCAGATAGAAGTCAAATTGCCAGTTTAAATTCCCCTTGGCCAGCTGCTGCTAACAGTGGTAATTTCCCTGCTGAAGTCAATAGAACAGTATCTTTTCATACATACTAAGATTTTGGTGCAGAAGAGGCAGCAGTGAGGCAGGATGAGTGCTCTCAAAGAATGAGATCGTCTCTCTCTCACAGTGGGGTGAAAAAAAAAGAATAAAATTTGTATCCTCTGACGAAGTTAAGAAGGCTATATTCTCCAGAAACATTGCCAGACTGAGGATGAAGGGGAGAATTGACATCAGAAATCCTGCACAACAGTGCAGCTTGCATTATTTGGAGATCTTAAAATGAATTTTCATGTTGAATGACACAAAATATTCAGACGGTTAAGCAATTAAAAGCTATTGAATATTTGTAACTCAAAAAGCACTAGGCAACAGAATATCACTCTCAACCCCTTTATGCAAAGGGACGTTTTGACATCGTACTTAAGACTGACTACTTTTCTAATGGCATAAAAGTATTACTTCAGTTATGCATAAAATAGGAAAACTTCTACTGAAACTTGCACAGCCTGGTTCTTTCTTCAGAAACAACAACAGAGAGTGAAACTGCCTTTGAAGAGAAACATTCTTCATTCGCTATCTGAAGGTTAGTCACTCTTTTAATCTTTAGCCTTTTTGCTAGCATGTGTAATTTAAAATGCACAAAACAGACTATCAAAATAGATACCCGGCTATAGATAGATAGAGAATTTTAAAGGTGCATCTGAAAATAGATGTGGAAATCAAGATGCTGCACCAAATCTTGCTCTAGGAGTAAGGACTCCTTCCCCATGGATCCACCTCAAAGAGCTTACCAAACACAGCTGACAGCCAACACTGAACAAGGAACAGCTCCTGAAGAGGTCAAATCTTGGTGCTACTAATCAAGAAGGTGTCCGGGGCAATTAAATATCCTATCCACAGAAAGTTTTCTTCTTTCCTTTTCTTGCCCTCCTCCAGAGCTACAGGAAGTTCTGCTGAACTTCAGCTCTGCAGACACAGCCCCATGAGCAGCACCGCAGAGCCCACGCACGCCGAGGGTGTCCAAGAAGTGACAAGTCCTTCCAAAAAGGTGGGATACGGTGGTGTGGAGACATGCCATGAAAGACCAGGGACACATGTAAAACACAAGTTCGCTCAATGATTTCACTTTCATCCACTCTATCCACTTGCACACCTGAATAAATTATTGTGAGACAAGTGTTTTCTTGAGGGTGTAACCTTAGCAAGGCTAAATGGGGTTCATTTCTTTAAGCCAGTGGTTGGATATTTCTGATCATATGGGGACTGGTGTAGAAGAACTCAGCTCTGGCCACCCAACCAGCCAAGAGGGATCAGCACCAGCAATTACAGAAAGGGTAGAATCAAGAGCTTCTTATCTTGTTCAAGTACTTCTCAGGAAAAAGAAAAGTCACCTGCAATTCCTTCTTGATCAGACAGTCCATAAATACAGATAAAAGGTGCTACTGCACCTAGTCAAGTCATACAGGAGTTGTGACAGTTGGTGAAGGACTTGTGATAAATGTAAGGGCAGCTGGGAAAACACACAGCTCAGCCTGCCCAGGCTAATCTAGCTGAGCTGGGCTTCTTTGAACAAAATACTTAAGTAGAAAAATAATGCATGAGGCCTTAAAAATTGCTATTTATTGGCTCCAGAACAGTCACATTCAGCTCTTTCTGAATTTCCCTGTGCTGCATGAAAAAACTCAAGTCAAAGAGCATCCAGGTAAACTTATAAATGGCAAAATAAATCCTTTGTCGGTGAAAACCAAAAATAGCTTCAAAGAAGGATGCATATAACCTTGTTAATTTGCCAAAAGTTTTCAATCTTCATCACTTTAGAAGCAAGGTCAAGGGAGTAGATAAAGGTTGAGAGATTCAGAAGGTGCTCAGATATACCAAGTGCAGGACCTTAAACCTCAGAAGCAAAACAATGTCAGGGAGAAGAGATTGACATTGATGCCTTGTGTTGGGAATCAGGAGTTGGAAGGACAGTCTGTACTAAGCAAAATACTCTCGTGATGATGATGCCAGTAAGATTTAATTTACCAGTCTGTTCTAGGAAAGGTAATGACCTTAATATCATGGGGAGCTTATCAAGAGGTCATTCATGCAGACATACACTGATTTATTTTCATAATAAATGGAAATAAAAGTCTAGCCACATGAATTTGCTTGCAGGAATGAATTCATATAATCTATCCAGCTTTGTGTTTAGTATCAGAAGAGCCTAAGAACAATTTGTTGATATATGGGGATTTAATTCTAACACCTTTGAGAATCTCTGCAGAAAAGCATTTCAGATTGGTTTCTAACCAGAACAGAAAAGCTTCCCCCAAACCTGCAAAATATGTAACGGGGAACAACATCACATTGGCCTAGGGATACATCATTTTATCCGAATTACTATCATTTGCTGCTGTGCCATAGATGAAGTATTGCATAATGCCTCTGCTAGCAGAGAAGAGTGGATATGCTCTCTCTGGCTAATTCATTTTTGAGAAATGTATTTCTGAGAAGATGCAAAGTGAGTGTTTAAATACAAATCCAGCAGCCACAGTGGAAATTTGACTGCATAGTCCAAACCCTGCTGCTCCGAACCCTGGAGGTCCCTAGGTCCCAGCTGCCGAGGACAAGTTTCCTTCACAGATGGGAATTATGCGTGTTACACAGCTTTCTCTGCACCAGTCCACAGAAGTGTTGGCACAGCTAATTTGATGGGACAAGACAAGAGTGTGGTCAAAATGCAAGAAAAAATGGAAAGGAAAGAGTCCAATGAACCAACCCAAATGGAGACGAGAGAACGGCACAGGAGATGAGCGCTGCCACGTAAGCGCGACACGCGCACATGGTGTGGTTTAGCTCAAGATTTCTCAAGCTGGGCTGCAGGCAGTGAGTCACAAGCAGAGAGGAGGAATATTTATGGGATTTTAGTTCTTTGGAGGAAAAAATATGAAACAGTCAGAAGTGACACAGAAATGAGAGAGTGCTAGATGATGGCAAACAACACATGTGGAACAGGGGAGAGGGAGCTTTTGGCATCGTTGCAGCAGCGTACACCCCAGCGCAACTCATATTGATCTCCGGGGGCCAGTTCATTTCTCCTGCAAGGATCTGGCTTCTGGGACTCCAGGTACAAAATGAAAAACTCTCAATTTCTAGAGCACCAACGTTAGCACTTGCCAAGCATTTTCTCTTTTCTATTCCTCCCTGCAAATCTTTTTTTCTTTTAGAGCCAGCGGAAAATTTAGTACGAGGCAGTTTTCCAGCAGGCTTAATTTTGAAAGTTGAACTGATCAGACGATTTAAGATTTGACAGATGAAGTTAGCATTTGCTTATGCACTTTGTAGTCTGAATTCTGCTGGGATTTTGTAAGTATAGGTGCATATGCATATCTGGGTACACGCAGACATACCAGTTTCTAGCTCTTCAAAGAGGTACAAAGGCTATTTTCTGTTCTATTTTCTTAACTAACTGCTGATGACTGATTTCTAGGTATGTTATTTTGTGCTATCTGGAAAGTAAATGCTGTAGGATGGTGCTGATTTGTTCAACTAGGAGCATGTTTTTTCAGCTACTGTTAGAACACCGTGTCCTTTTTGAAACAACATAAACCTAAGAAGATTTCATTTCTGTTGTTTTGTTCTGCATATTCCCTTCTCTGTCAAGAAGCCTACGAGGGCTTGAACAGAGTTTTGGGTGTTGTAGGAGTAAGTCAATGTGTAAATCATTACCTTTAATTTTCTTGAAAATACTTCTTCAGAATTGCTGCTTCAGCTGCCATTTCTTCTTCTGTCCTCCACTTGTCAGGAGAATCCTCTTTGTCATGTTGTTGCAACTTTTTTGAGGGGAAAAAGAAAAACAAAAGTGCGTTAATATTTTTTTCCCCTAGTTTTACTCTCAAATTCATGGCATGCCTGTATGCAACCAATCTATTCCATGCATCTGTGGGATGGAGGGACCTGGTGTTGAAGAGACGAAAGGTGAAGGTTACTAGTTTAGAGTGGTGGCAGCAGTTAACTGGTTCTGATGGATTTATGATAACACAAGGTGCCAGGGTGAGTGATAGGCAGTGACAGAGTTCACCTTTGTGAGTTGATGGTCAGATATCTTACGAGTCTTTGATGCAAAGCCAGTAGGTAAAGTAATAGGGTAACAAATACACTCAGGTATTTTGAAGTGCCCATTACATCAGTGGAGAGAACTAGGCAGAAGCTGCCTGGACACCTTGTCAGTAATTCATGTAAAATTTTCTCTCTGGCCATGAGGCCACCTTTCCCATCAAAGCCCTATTGGGATAACAAGATCCTGTTGCAGCTGTTTCCCACCGGTAGCTTATATTAGTTTTCAGAAGCAATATATTCCCTCCCTGCATGCAAGTTATTAGTCTTTCCTTGCCCTTGTGGAAAGAGACACACATCCCTGGCCTAGAAACAAAATGTGTTATTTCAAGCATAACTATATTCGTTTGGGATTTACTTGAGAAAGAGATCAAACGTATGTGAAATGCTTAATTTTTGCATCTAGCTTGCATAATATGCCCACAAAAATAAGTTCTATCCCATATGCAGTAAACATTGTGACATCCCAGATACAATGATTTCAAATACATCCTTTGCATCTCCTGAAAAAAGAGAGAATCTGATGGTTTTGCTCCTGTCCAGAAGAAGAGAGTTCTATTTTATAGCAAGTATAAAGTACCAGCACTTGAGTGACTCTTTGTACACATGTCCACTCAAAGAATGCCTGACACTCCTCATGGGGAAGACTACATTTACAACAGACAGTAGAGACATCTGCTGCATTAACAGCTTAAGTATTGAGATTTTCAGTGTGTCTCTAGGTACGGAGCACAGCACAGACTGTATTAAGAGCATCAATGCTTCTGAAGAATATTATAATATTGACTTTTTGTTAATGTCACAAACAAAGTTGGAAACTAATGAATTTACATCTTTTATTCCTGGACAAATTTCAGTACAGAAGATGAAGCAGTGAAAAAAAACCTGAAGATGAAGCAATATTGAACCTGCCAAGCAAACTGCATTACTGTATATGGCATGTTTAGCAGTAAACTAGGATTGTTAGCACACATCCAACTCACAAATACTTTTATTTGTGCTGTTTTTCCTACTCCGAATTTTGCTGCTAGCTATAGTCCTATGCAGAGTTTTACATTCTGCAACACAGATTTCTTCCCTCTCAGCAGATGAAGCTGCATTAGGAAGCTATTTCCTTTCATGCCAATATGATGCAGTAGCTGTAGGCAAATTAAAGCGCATTACTGTTCGACTACTAGAGGACTAATCTTCATTGTCACATTAGCTCTGGGTGTGTTATAAATCCATCTTGTAATAATGCTACAGAATTACAGAGACAGATTTAAAAGCTAGGAACCAGTGCACATCCTTTGTGTCCATGTGCCTGCTCTTGCCCACTGCACACCCCTGTACAGTGCACAGGTACCACTGCTGAGCTGGCAACGAGAAGGAGGTATCGCAAACAGCATACATCATCCTATGCTTTTCACACACTGTGAGCTCTTACACTTCACAAGAGGATGCACCAGGACAAGCCAAGTGGTGGTGAATCAATTGTCTGTCTGAGGTGTGAGCTGTTTTTCTAAAAAAGCAATGTCTTGCTCATTCGACCTAGTATCAGCTAGAAGGCAAGGGAGGGCAGCCTCTGTTCCTTAACGTCTCCTTGTTTAACCTGCAAGAAGTGCTTTTTTTAGTGACGTGATTTGGCTGCTGTTCTCCCCTGCAGTCCTACTTCTGTGCAATCCAGGTGAGAGCTGACTCCAGGACGAGAGTAGTAAAGTGGGGATTTGACTTCTAGTATTCATTTTTATTTTCCGTGTTCAAAGAAACCGAAGTGAACAGTAATAAGGAGGCACATCCTGATATGGCTGTTGTTGCTGTCTAAATTAAAGCTGTGTGAAGCTGCAGACCACGGGCACTTCTCAAAGCTGGCAAAAGAGAGGGTTTCTTTTGCTACGTAACTGCTAACCTTTAAAAATAATCAATCTTTGATTAAGGTTAAACCAGATATATGGGGAGGAGCAATATATCACAAAACTTGCCTGGAAACCCAACCTGCTTAAGCAGCCCTGGCTCCTGGTACACAGCACCACACAGCAAGCCCCAGCGCAGCCCAGAACCGCCCAGCACAGCCTCATCACGCTCTGGCATTCACGGACCTCTCGTTCTGAAAATATGTATCCACATTTTGTGGACACATCGGGTGTGATGAACAACAGCTAAATCACTGCCGCGTCCCATGTGTTCATTGCTCAGCTGACTTACGGATGAATATTATTTCACTATAAAATTGCTATGTCTACCCAAACCAGAGCTCAGGATCATTCTGCATTCAATCCTTTTACCACGTCAGTGATTTCCTAAGTGCGACAAGCAATTATCACCCTAATGCCACTTAGCATCTCATATTATTCAACCACCACTGTAGAGACCTGAAAAACACTCTCTGGTGGCTGCCTACCCTTCTCTGCTACCACCACACTGCAGCTCCTTTACAAGCCAAACCATATAGCCAGCCACTTTGCTGCACAATAGTTAAATTTGGGATAAACTTGTTGGATCCCATTCTGGATGTTAATCGTTATGCAGGTTCAACAGTACCAATAAATGGAGGATAAATAAATTAAGGGCTGCTGATACCACCTCTAGCTCTGGGATTCTACATGCCACAAATTACTGGCGGCTGGAAAGCACAATGGAGGCACATCTGTGCACCTGCTCAGTTCTTCAAATCTTCTCTTCCTACCTTGTCACAAATGGAGACCACTAGCAGATGCTGTGAACATGGATGGGGTTTGGTCTCACCTGGTTATTTCATGTGTTCTTATGTAAGGTTCAGATCTCCACATAACAGCCTCTGTAAGCAAAAGTTACTTTACTGAAAGGTTTGGGGTTTTTTTTACACATCTGTGCACCTGCTCAGTTCTTCAAATCTTCTCTTCCTACCTTGTCACAAATGGAGACCACTAGCAGATGCTGTGAACATGGATGGGGTTTGGTCTCACCTGGTTATTTCATGTGTTCTTATGTAAGGTTCAGATCTCCACATAACAGCCTCTGTAAGCAAAAGTTACTTTACTGAAAGGTTTGGGTTTTTTTTTTAAAAAAAGGCTAAGACATAGTATTTTGGCTGAGTTGTAAAGCTCCTTTCAGGAAAGAAGAACATACATATTTCAGTATTAAATTGCATTGATTGAGAATTCAGATGGGAAACAAACCTAACAGTCGATACTTGTTTCTAAGGGACTTCTGTGCCTTGGAGTGTGTTCATATTCACGAGCACATCCAAGTCCCAGCTGTGCATCTTTACAAACATCTGACATGCTATTGAAAGTTTGGTTTATACAGAGGAAACAAGAGTCTCTTGCAGCTGGAGAACACTCCAAGGTTTGCTCAAAGTAAAGGGAAAAAAAAAACGCCTCAATTGCCAGCTACCCATCTGTAAAAACTTAGTGATTTCCCCTTGTCTTTTCCTCAGTCAGTCAGAAAAACCTGGAAAACCTGAGCTGGCATCCTTACTCAGATATATCCAAAGACAGACTAGCTTGAAGTCTGTGATACTTTCTGTAAAAGAATTCTACTTCTGCAAGCTCTGATTTTCTGTGAGAGGTTTTGCCCTGATTTCCCTGGACGAACTGAATAGAGATGGAGACTGTCCACATCCTCTCAGAAGACTTTGGCTACCATCTCTACAGTTCCTGAGACAAAGCTTCCATATTACCCAAAGATCCCTAAACAACAATCGTTGCCCTTCTTGCAAGGAACTCTTCTAGAAGAAACCACTCAGGTCCAGAATCCCTTCCCAAACAAACGTGTGTGTTTCCAGTTGTGATAAAGTAGCTGCTATTTCAAGTCAGATGAAAAAAGCACATTGTGGGGTTACAGGAGTCACTTCTGTGCAAAGAAATGAAGCAAAGGGGACAGACTGTGCCCAGGATAGTCAAGGAGTATCCACGGAGTGAGGAGGCCGCTGCCAGAGGCTTCTGCAGAGCTCTGCAGACACACTGGGCTCTCTTGTGGGCAGCAGAAGACTTCTTGTCTCCCCTGAAGTCCAGGTCCCTGCAGACATGTGGCAGAAGCGTAGGGAAGCACAGCCTGTTCTCAGCAATGTTACAGCAACGCTGGCCAAAGTTGGCTAAATAAAGACTAAAATTTAAAATCCCTACACTAAGGAAGAAGAATTAGGAAGCTATAATGATTATTTTTTTTTTAAAAAAAGGAAGCTATAAGCTTTGGGTGAGGCTGTCACACAGCTGCAGGCAATGGTTGTGTTACAGGAGTACTTCGAAAGCACACAACAGAAAGGTGAGCAACCACACTAGTGTGGCTCAGGAGAGAATAGGATGAGAGAGCATGGACGTTTCTTTTAGACAATCTCTGTTACGCTAACTTTTTCTTTTAATATTCTGAACGAGCACCGAGACGTACATTAGTCAATTCTCTAATCGCAGTTGCCCAGCAAATTACACGCTGTATCTGCTCAACATTCTTCAAGCACTAAGACTCTTGTTTATAACTTAGTACATCTTCTTGCCTTGCAGTACAAATAAATGCACTATTTCTAAGATATGCCCTTCTTCAAGCAGATCATTACTGATGTCTGACTTCTTGGGCTTCCTGATAAATTATCCTCTTGTTTCACCTCAAGCAGAAAATGCTCTTTCACCAATAATCTATGACTGTCAGTCTTGATTACTTGTAAACAGTGGAGCTCTTTGAATATTTCTGCTTGTGAAAAGTGTTCATTTTCTCACTCATGTCTCTCAGTGTGAGATGCTGGCAGACCTGACAGCTGTGC